CCAGGATCTCGGCCGTCAGGTACTCGAGCACGGCCGCCAGGTAGACGGGCGCGCCGGCGCCCACCCGCTCGGCGTAGTTGCCCTTGCGCAGCAGCCGGTGCACGCGGCCCACGGGGAACTGCAGCCCGGCCCGCGACGAGCGCGACTTGGCCTTGGCCCGCGCCTTCCCGCCCTGCTTCCCGCGCCCGGACATCGCTCCCGACGCTGCCGCCGCCGCCGCTCCAAGTGACGTGATCACGTGTCACCGCACCCCGCCCGCGGCCCCTCTTATAGCTTCCCCGCGCGCCCCGCTCTGCTCGTCGATTGGCTGCGCCGCGCTCTCTCGCGCTCCGACCAATGGCGCCGCGGATCCAAATCCACCCAATGGGAGTCGCCGGCGGCCGAGCCGCCCCCGGGCCGGGCCGAACCTCCGCCCGCGACCGCCCCGGCACCGGCAGCGCTGGCACCGAGCGCCCCGTGAGCCCGCCTCCTAGGGAAACGTGTCCGCGCCTGCCCCAGGAGAGCAGAGGCGCGCAGCCTCCTCCCGGAAACGGGGGGAACTTTGCTAAAGCCATCGCTGTCGCTTTAGAAACAGTCCTGTGTTTTAAACCTCAGAAGTGCTGCTACAGGGCTACCTTAAAAATTTGTTATTATTACTATAAAAGAGAAACTTTCTTTTCAGTAGGAACATCCGCAACCCAGCACTGCCGATATGTTTAGACACTAGGCAGGAACACGTAATACAGGAGGTTTCTCTGATATTAGAGAGGAATTACTCCAATATTGCTGTAATCAAACCAGTATTGATGATTTCAAGCTGAATTATGTTTCCAGGCTGAGTCTTCTCACCCTTTGTAAACGTAACTGATGTCGTCAGATAACTTCTACAACACAAGTTGCTTAATAAAGAAAAGCACTTTGTGTTTCAAGCATTGCGTAAGATTACATCACAAACATAAATATGTATTAGGTGGGCGGAGAATATTTATTAGATAGGCGGGTTCATGTAAATTTTAATGTATGAAAGATGTAACTTTTTACTGCTTGGTGTGCTTGATTTGTGGAAATCTCCACCTTGTACCCTGCATAGAATAATCAATGTCTGCTTTCTAAACTAGACTCTGTTTAGTTTAGATTCTAAAATCGGCCACAATAATTGCAAGGCTTTTCTGAAGAGCATTAGAAGTCAGGCTGTCACTGCTACTGAAAGTGGAGAATAGCTCACTGCACCTGTAAGCTGAAGTGATTTCCTGAACATTTAGGATGTTTATCTGGTATGACCTAGCCCTGTCTTACAAAAGAGATTCGTGTTCATTTAGGAATTGCCCGTGCTTTCTCTTTATTTCCTGGCATATTTTTCTCTTCTTCCATACACTGTGAGCAAGGGCAGACAATGGACTTAGTCATGCCCTTCTGTTACACCAGTGTTGTACAACAGGCTCTTCCTCCATTTTCCCCACAGCATGGAATTCTGTTTTCTTGTTTCCGTAAATTCTGGCTACTTGGTTGTTTGGTTTTTTTTATGTCGTTCCCATCTTCATTCTTTGATGTTTTTGCATTCTAAATCTAATTCTAAATGGTTTTTCTTTTTAATGCACAACAGATCTTATGATATGGGTATCATAAAATTACAGTGGGGTAGCGTGCATGCAAGACTGTGCTACTTACCCTGGGTGCTACCATTGTAATAGATTCAGGCAAGGATCAAGACATGACTCCCACCAGGCTACCCATGATAATCTTTCAAAAAAAAAAAAACAAAACCAAACAACAACAACAAAAAACCCCCCACCAAAACCAAACAACCAAAACCCAAAACTCCAACAAAACCCCACAACAATAAAAACAAACAAAAACACTAAACCCCCAAAAGATTGCATTTAAACTTTGCAACTCAGAGATCAAGAGAGAAGCACATCCTTCTTTCCAGAAGGGTACAATAACAGGAATTCTGATCTAGGTTGTACAGGGCATGCCAGCTGCAGCAGGATTACAAACAAAGCAAAATAAGAAGTTGTTCATAGCACACGCAAAGTACTGTCACTATTTGTTTACTTCTGGGTAACTAAATCCAGGTCCCCCTTCTGAGGGTTTAATAACATTTTGGATGAATCTCTGCATAATGATATGATTCAGTGGATTATAATGAATTGATTCATCTTAGGCGTTGTTTTCTATTTCCATCTTTATGCGGTCACTAACCTTGGTTAGTTGGGCAAGTCACATCGCTTCTCGGTGTCTCAGCCCTTTCCCAGCCCATTTCCTCCCCATGATCATTTCTTATTCTGTGAACACTACTCAGAGCTACAGATGAAAAATGTGAGCACAAGATGGAGGTTGTATTACAGAGAAGAACCTCAAACCCTATATGACCACAAAAAAAAAAAAAAAAAAGGAGAGGTGGCCTGGGCTTATGTTACCTGAGCTGAGAACATCTGTTCTGAAGCAAAAAAAAAAAAAAAAAAAGGAGAGGTGGCCTGGGCTTATGTTACCTGAGCTGAGAACATCTGTTCTGAAGCAGTAAAAATGGCATTACATGCTTGTGTCCGTGACCAGTGCCATCATAAGTACATACTCCCATCTCACCTCCCCTTTCCACATCCACCCCAAAGCCATCTTAGAGGTCTATCAGTTGAGGGTAATTACCTACCTTCTTTAACCCCCTCTTTGAGCGCATTTAACATGTAGCAAATTCAAAGCCTTTTACCTCAGCCAGAAGAGGATGGGTACAGCAACAAGCAAATGTTCACTCTACCCCACCAGAGAAGGGTTCATCTACATAGAGAATATGGCAGATGCTAGTCTGGTATCTTAATACTAATATTATCCACAAGTAAAATTATCTGTTAATCTCAACATTAAAATTGTTAACCAATTTTTACTTATGGTAGCCTGTCCATGATGCATCCAGTGGTTATCTGAGCCTTGATATGAAGCAAACCTTTTAATAAGAGTATATAGAAGAAATCATTTTGTAATTATTAGTAGTACTACAGGACTTCAGTTTTTACATTCTATCGGCTACTAGAAACTACTTAGCTGCTAGCTAAAGGTTGAAAGGGATGTTTAGGAACTAAAAAACAAGAATATAGTAGAAGCTCAGTGGGAAAAAAAAGTATATATTATTTACAATGTAGTTAGTTTTTCTTTCCTGAGGTTTAGAATGCCTCTATCGTCTCTCAAGGCCAGCCAAGAACTCTCCCTCCTTTCCAACTGCCTGCTAGTTTTACACAAATGACAAGGAAACCAGTATTTTGATACACTGAACATTTATTGTCTTTCATAAGACTACATGAAGTTTCCCCAGCCGATGACAATCCATCAAGATGACCATAAAGGGGATAGGGTGCAAAATTCCAGTGTACAGTATACGCAACAAATTACCTCCCTGACCACCCTGGAAGAAAGATGATTCATCAACCTCACTGCAACTAAAAAATATGATTATAAAATATTTACAGAAAAAACAACCAGTACAGAAAACAAAAACTGGACAACCATTTGTGTATGAAATGCTGCTAACACTTTTCTGGCTCCTTAAAAACCTGTTCCACTACCCTCACCAGAGCATTTGGGGTGTGCAAGGATTCAGGCAGAGCATAGTCACCCCTCTATCCCACGCTCCCCTCCCCAGAATATCACTATCTCCCTCCAAGGAAGGAGGACTTGAGGGGAGCAGCATTGCCTTCCTTACTGTGATTTCCTTTCACCAACTGGAAATGCTCTAGCTCTGAGAGGAGGTCCCCGGCCACACCCCATCTGTAGCGGTCTCTATTCACAGCACACTGGCAAGTTAACCTGGGGGTAGGGAACTATTCCCTGTCACGTGAGCCCTTTCGTTGCTTGCAGGAGGACTTTCCCTTCTCCTCCCTCCACAGTGATCTGATCCGTGTCCAGAGGGGCAGGAAAGCTGACTAGGACTACGACAGGTCACAGGAGACCTTCCATTTCTTTCATGAAGGCTTCATACACATCATCCTTTGTCTGTACAGAGATCGGGGCAGACGATCCAGCCTTGGGGACAGCTTTGGTTAACGGGAGCGCAGGCTCATCATCTTGTTTTCTCTGGGAGGCAGCTGAAGCCCCTTTATTCTCCCGGCGCACTCGCAAGGCAGTGGGCACAAAGCGAGTGATCTCTGCCTTGGGATTGGTGATCTGCGGCTTGGCACTGATCGTGGCCGTGGCTTTCTTCTCGATGGTGGCTGCACTGGTGTCATCCGCCTTGGGGCGCTGAATCAAGCTGGGAGGGGCGCTCAGTACCCCGGGATTTGGAATGGGAGCTGGTGGAAAGAGCCCAGGTGGGGCAGGTCCTAGTGGGGGCACCAGAGGTGGCCGTAACATGCCTGGGCGAGGAGGAGGGATACCTGTAAGGAGAAAAGAAACCATGAGCTGTCTCCACACCTGGGAATTTTAAATTCTTTCATAAAAAAAGTGCACAGGCTCAGAATGCCAAGAAAAAAAAACAAAAAGAAAACCAAAACAAAACAACCCTCAACGAGATGCAGTAGCACTGGCTTAAAAACAAAACGTAAAAAAAAAAAAATGTTTTCAACCCTGCACCAAGTGCTGGGTTGAAAATGCTGTTCTTCAGACTCTGAAAGCAACAGGAGCTTGCTTATTGCTCCATTTCAAATTTCAAAGTTATAATCTGAAAATAAAAGTTTCTGGACGATCCATCCCACTGCAATTTCAGAGTCATCAGAAATGTCTGACCCAGGTAGAAAAAATAAATATCCCAATCTTCAACTCATTTATTGGAAAACCATTATAGCATGCAGAGCTTATTCAGAAAGAGTCCAGCAGAGCAAAAGTTTAAACTCTGAAATTCCCTTTTTCAGGACAGATTTCTTGCCACCAAACTATACACAGCACTTACTTGTTGTTATTACACAGAAAAGTGTAACAGCATAAAGCACAATGCAGCCACACAGACAGGAACAAAGGCTAACTGGCCACCAATTATACTCACTGGCTTGATCACCACAGCACAAACTGGGAAAATAAAGCAAGAAGAGACTTGGCACAGAAACAAACAGAACACTTTACCTGGTGGAGCAGGAGGGGGCAGACGAGGAGGAGGACCACGTGGAGGAGGACCTGGGGGCAGACCTGGTGGGGGGCCTGGGGGAGGACCAGGTGGTCGTCCAGGTGGGGGGCCTGGTGGCAGCAGTCGAGGCAAAGGCCCACGCAATCCTGGTAAGCCGGGAGGTCTCA